CCGTATTTTCTTCTAAAAGTAGAAGATATTATACGGGATATAAAGTATTAGAAGTGCAATTATTTTCCGCGCAACCTAATTCTTTTCGTTACAATTTTTTTTTTTATAGATAATTGATAGCATTCGAACGACAATAACGCCTTTAAATTTGAATAGAGAGAACCAAGTTATTTGCAGTATCATCATTAGAAGAAAAAAAAATTCAAAAACATTGTACATAATTTAATAATTTACATGCGACGTAATACTGCAAAATTGAACGCGGTATCGCGTACCTAAGCTTTTTTTATCGTTATAAATTATTTTTATTTTCCTCCGATATATTTTTCTGGGTCACATTAATGCAGACTGGGCAATGAGCAAAGTTTCAAAACTATAATATCGTACTGTGTCTTATCGTGCTATCGATTCGTCGATTATCGGTAAACTATTGGGTTGGTTTTCGCGCAACACACTCACGTGTCCTAAATTTGTCTTTGTATGATTTTAAAGAGCGAACATCTCCGATACGTTCTGTCTGGTAGATAGATAAATCTATAAAATAACCGATTTTTTTTTTTCATTGAGAACAATTCTCCCCATTGAGTTTCATGCGTCTGAATGAGAACACATTTCATTTTAATTAATACACTGGTCGCATAATAAAACTTACACTTTTCAATTATAATTTTTATCGTATTTTGAGCGTATCCATTAAGTACTTGAAAATTGGCCTTGCAATAGAGCGTCACTCAATTAACCGGTGTACATTTTATATGCCCATGGCACATAGTCGAAATTTTACATAAATATAACATCTTTTGAAAATTTCATGCGGCTTCACATCATGACATTTATTGTGCCTCATATGTTACATGACGTTATGCATTTTATAACATTTAGTTGATTAAAAAAATTTATTCTCACAGGCATCGTTATAAAGTCACCGGAGAGCAGTATTGTGCTCCAGCAACTTGCTGCCTCGATTTAATATCACATTGCATATTGTGTGCTTGTGTGCGATCTATTTGTCCTTAAATTAAGCTCGCTTATCACTGTGGAGCGTATCATACACGAGATAATGCACTACTAAGGGATTATTCAACTCGGCACAGCGATGATCGGAGTTGACGGAGCCTGTGTGAGAATGAATTTCGCTCGGTGAAACAATGCAGACTGTGTGTTGTCTGCCGATGTTCCGCCTCGCCCTTAAACGTCAGGGCGGCTCGACATTCGCTCCCGTCGGGCGCACACGTGTCGCAATCGCGTGTGTGCGCGATGCGTGCCGCTGCACCTGTCCGAGGCTGAGCGCCTCGGTAACTCGGTAATGCAGTTTTCATCGAGAAAGTTACCGCGCGACGTACGGGAAGTAGCACGAAGGCCCGGAGTTTCGGGATGTCAGGTCCGTATGTACGACGAACTGTACGAACTGTTACGTACCTTCCGATATTTAGACGAAGCGGACCCTCGGGCGCAAGTGTCCGCATTTTCTTCGACATCCCTAGCCCACCGAGGATGAATAAATCTATATACCCTTATTTCCCGCTCTCTTTCTCTTTCTCTCGTTCACCTTCATTCGCGGCGCCTTGCGTCTCTCAGCGAGGGAAACGTTCCCTTCATCGATAAATCGTCGACAAATTACTTTACCGCGACCATTTCGGTCCTCGTGTTTCTCGGAGAGCCGTACTTTTTTTTTTCTCGATGAAACTACTTCAGATACGGACGGTCCAATTATCTTCGCCTCTGAACCGTCAATAACATCTACGTGCTATGTTTGATATTAATAAATTATCGGCGGGTTTCTTTACGAGGAAATGTAATTCACTCCCGAGATTTTTCGTGTTGATAATAACGTCGCAGTGTGCCGTGTAATTTACATATCTTTGAGCATGAAAAATATTTGGATATTATAATCGAATCGATAATACGTATACGTCTGAAAAAATTCCATTTTAATATTTCGAACAACAAATAGACTCATTATATCTTGCAAAGCATCAGATTTGCACGGTGCTTTATAACGAAAGACTCGATAATGCAATGATTACGAATGTTATAAAAACCGTACATTCCTATATGCGTGTTTTAATGCTACGAAATCACAAATAAATCTACATCATAATCCGCTACAAAGGAGTCAAATTATAATTTACACTTCAATTAGGTCGAATGTGCGATTTAATTAGTGAATAAATTAATAGAAAAGCGAACATAGGTAGTTTGCCAAAATTAACCGAAAAGTACGAACACACAATTGCACAAATTATAATGTAATTACATCGCGCAGTACAATAAAATATAATTATCTACCGACTACTTCTAATTTCACGTATGATCGTAATATTCCGCATTAATTACTACCAATTTCCTGCCTACCTAATTCCAAAATACCCATACAACAATGCCGCACAGTTGCGGCGACAATTACACATATTCCGCACATTCAATTATAAAAGACCGTCGTCACCGCGATGGGCCTGGCGGAAAGTTTCGCGCTACATTTATTGCGCGGGATACCTAATCCGTGCATTCATATCTGTCTCATAGTTGGCGTATCGTCGGGATCCCGGGAAGCGTATTTTAAGTAGCAGAATAATCCGCCTCCTCGATGTCTGCCGTCCTACCTCCCCTCAACCCTTATCTCCGCCCTTCCATCTTTGCGGTCGTATGTCTTACCTCGTAAAACCGTGGCGGCTTATAAGCGTAAGCGAGGGGTAATCCAAGGCGACCACCCATAATTTAATGACGCTTAATATGCAGTCGCCAACTGGGCGGATTATTATTCTGACCTTTGCACTAGTGCAGTTATCTCAGACGCCCGAATCAGGTCGCGGTATTATTATGAGAATGAAATGGATCCATCCGTCCACAGTTATTGCACGAAATTTTAAATCACTGCGCAGGCTTTCCACGACGATAAAACATTTGTTCAAGTAACGTGGCTAATGAAAAATATACTCCGACGAGTCACAAAAATTCTATTATAATTTTTATTGAATTATATTTTACTGCACAGGAGTACGAAATAAAATTTATCGTACGAATTAAACTCCAAATTCAGATCAAAATTCATATTAAATTAGACTCAATTATTCGACGTGCTACATACGTCATCTTCCCTCATAACAAATTCCAATATTTTGTTAACTAGAATAACATTTCAATGTGTAATAACGAATAACGTATCTGTGGATTGACACAGGAAAAGCTTGTCGAAACGTGAAAATGGTATGTTCAGTCAATCTTCTGTCTTCTCGAAGCAGAGAGATCGCGCTGCCAATTTGAATCTTTTTTCAAACAGATAAAACATTTCGCGTGCTTTACGTGCTCGGAAATTCTATATTCAAGACTGCATTATGAAAACGCTTCTCGCAGAGGATACAGACTGCACGTCGGCGACCGTCGTCGTCGACGGCGCCATCGGCGGATGTCGTAGATCGCGTTCTTGACTTCCGAAACGACGTGGGACGAGACTCGATACTTGAGACGTCAGTCCGGCAAAAATCTCGTCGTTGTCGAGATCCGCTTCGCTCTACACAACTTTTTGTCGATCGTCTCGAAAGCAACTTTAAGATTGCGGTATCGATTCGGTGCGTCTAGACTGTTAATCCGTTTATCCGCTTCGTGTCTTGAACAGACATCATCTATTATATATGATTCGTCGCGCTCACTAAGACGGACACTGCGCAGACAAATTGCAGTCGATTTGAAGGAATGAAAACTACACAGTTGACACAGTACAACACATTAACGATCACTTGAAAAGTACCAAAACTTGAAATATGGAAATTATCTTTTAATGATATAAAGTAGTTTTTCTAAAGAGGCGTTTCATCGCGGCAATTCTGAGATAATATTGTTAATCATCTTACCGATGTACACAATAATCTTCGATAAATATGAGAGTGACACATTGTAAAAAAAAAAAATATTATCGAGCGCAAAACGCCACGCTTTATTTATTATTCATTAATGAAGCGTGACGTACAGAAACGAGACTTTTCTACTATTATAATCGCGTATCTTACCGCAGACAGCGTGGAGACGGCCGTCTTCTTCACTGAGCTTCACCTTAGTTCATTCGATACCTGATGAATAAAATATTAGTTCTCATGCATTATGATAAAAATGTTTAGCGGCGAGCTCGTTAGTCGCGTTTCTCGAGTATCTCAATCCAGATACCGGTGATAGTAATGGTTCGATCAATGGGATGGTTTCAAAGCAGCATACGGACAAGTGTATTCTCTCTGGTATGGTGTGCAGTCGTTCTCGAGAAACATTAAAACTAAATATCCAATCGGCTATCTAATGTTCATCATTACAGCTAAATATCGAGTATCAGTAAATGAACGATCAAACAGACGGGATTGCGGGTCATCCCTACGCAACGACACGAACACGTACATACACAAAAGGGGAGGAGAACGCGCGCATTGACAAGGCACGCACAGATAAGGACGTAATCATCACATATCTAAACATCGATCAACTAAAGCTAGATATACGAGTTTTCGACAAAAAAAGAGAACAAGTCAGTCGGTGTCAATCGAGTCGGAGTAGTGGTGAGTCACACACTGCTTGATATGAAAATCAATCGATATATAATCGGATATACACATATTCATATATATGCGTATACATACATCTTGATACGTGTGAGTCTAAGTACACATATGCAAGGATCGAGTCTGCATGTACGTATGTATAGATATATATGCTACGGTTAGTAACGATCAAAGGTGGTGATTGGTGTTAGCATGGTCGAGCGACGATCGAGGCATCAAGAGAATAAAGGGAAAGGTAGATAGTGAAAGACAGAGAGATATAGATAGAGATATATATATATATATAGAGAGAGAGAGATAGAAGTAGTAAGAATACAAGGGAAAGACAGACGAGTATTATGTATGTAAAAGCGAAGACTATACGCGTGAAGAAGAAAGAAAAAGGAGAGGATTAGGGCGTTTAGAGAAAAAAATCTACTGACTAATCCTAATTGCAAACCAAACAAATGAACCAACCTCCTCGGTAAGGCCTAGCCGAAAATGTTCGCGGGACCCCTGTAACAAAAATATATATAAATCATAAGAAATCATAGAAGAACAAAAAGAAACAACTACTGACTTTAATGAGTGAGACAGTCGTATGTTACAGTATCACATGAGAGCGAAAGATGAACAAAATTAATTGTAACTTAGTCGGGGGGGTGTCAAACGCATCGATCCTTGATAACGATGCAATCAAATCGCGTTAATTCGCGATCGCTTTACTTTACGTCAAACGTCAAGATATAATAAACTCCGCTGCGATAATAAATCAATGTCAATTTTCTTGTACCTTCTTCACTCTACATCATAAATTCTGAACCGTCTTTTATCCGTGAAAGAATGAAGAAGAAGAAAAAAAAAAGAAAACAAAAATTCCATCGATGCACATCGATAAACCTTTAATATTCGCGACTGCGATTGCGCTGGTGGTTCTAAGTGTTCAATTCCAAGCGTGGTCACGCGTACGATAAGCCGCGTATTTGCTTATAATTACAAACGTTTGTCGAAAGCCGATCGAATCCGAAAACAAAAATATCCCCGTTTGACACCCCTGCAGACGCACAGTCTACTATACACTTTTTCCACGGCTGTTGCCGGAGAGGGGTGCGATCGGGGGCGCTGCATTGTGGTAGCCGTTGAGCGCGAAATAAAGTTTGCACCGCAAACCCGCTTTTCGCTCGCGATTAGCCACTATCGAAAGCGCGGTCGGCTGACGAATAGCCAGCCGCGTTCGGTTTAAATCGAACGCGCTCGTGCGATCCCGCGGTTGAGTCTTATTCAGCGCGACAAAATTGGCGCGAAATGAATGCGAATTGTTGCGCCGTGGTGGGGGGCCGACGTGTGTCATTGCACGCGCGTGTTCACACACTCACCGCGACCGATAAATATATATACAATGCATAAGTATTTCAATCCCGATGAGTCAGTTCAGTAAAATATACGTCCGACGAATGCTCGAATAAATTTCTGGCAAATTGATATGAAATACGGATGACACATCGTATTTAACTCCTCGCGTCGAAATTAAAATGTAATGAGAGATGGATAATCATTTTAGCATTAAATTTGATTGTCGACAGAAGTCAACTGTATTGAAGAATGGTGGGATACACGCTTCACGTGTTTGTGCCAAGCTATATGTATTTTTGCGAACGTTAAATCGATAATCTCTGTTTCGCATCGAAAGGTATCGCGCTATTCTAATTATTCTCTCGCGCGTTAAAAAAATATTGTAAACGCGACGCAGTATTCTCTCTGTATACGCCGGCGTTTACATACAGTTGTGGAGCCAACTCGAAACGACTGCGAAATATTGCATAATAAATCGTGTCCTTTATTTCCGAACGAACATCCGGAAGCTTTATTTTTCCTACCGATGCGCATAAAACGATCATCACCCGTTTTCCATCGAGAGATGAATGTGTCTACGTCACGTGTGAAAACATGGTGAATGAAAATCTTGCAGTAGTCTTCAGCCTCGACGATTTACGAGATTACGCACTATTATATACAAAAAAGAATAAGCCTTGCGATTTTTCTCTAATGTTCCAATCTATAATGTAAGCGCGCCGGTAATACGAGCTTCTAATTTACAGGCAGCCGCGATAAGAGACTCTGATAACGGAGGGAGTACCTTTTACCATTTCTGTATTATTCGCATTCATTACATTGCAGAACGCGTTCGCCGGAAGATTAAGTTTCTCCATCCGTTCGCCGCTGCGCTACGCTTTGTTCCACTCGGCATTACGGTAGTTCATACAGAGAAGCGTATTACTATCGCTATGATGGCGCCAAGTAGTAACTTATATGTGGGAGAAAAGTCGATGGATAATGCTCTATTGTAAGTGGTGTACCGAGATAACGGCAAAGGGAAGCTTTTTTGTCGAAAAATTGAACCCTGCGGACGTTACGAGGATGAACAATTCCCTCGCGATTATCTTGAAATTGTTTCTTAATAGCGACATGAGAGATTCGCAAAATAAAAATAAAATGCTACGGATGAGCGCTCTATCAGTCGGAAAGTTATTAAAAAGTACATTAAGCGAACGAATGTGCCTACAAAGAAAAAATTCCGATTGAGCTACTTGCGGCAAGAAAAATGACTACGGCTAAAACTCGGTGTTAAAATAATGCTGTCGTCGAAGTGACCTCGCTACAGCTAAGGCTATGCGGCATGATAAATAGGAAAAAAATTGCGAAGTATGATGATCTTTTACGGGAACATGTATATCTCGCGCAGAATAAATCAGACTCGAGATTTTAGACGCTGGCGATAAATACGCTGGCGCACAGCTGGTTACAATTGTGCGACGATCGATACTTCTTACGCTCCCGGTGCTACGACTTCGCTGAATATTATGAAAATAGCTGTGCGTGCGCGACACATTAAACTCGAGGTCTTACCTGCGTTTAAAGACACGGCACACGAGGCTCCAATGTTTCCCATTACATTGAGTTTTTCTAGTCGATGAATATTTCTTGAAATTAAAAGGGGGATTATATTGGTGGTGAACATCGAGAACAGGGGAATGAGAAAGTAAAAAAGATCCAACGGAAAAAAGAAAACAATCCATTTTCTAATTTGCGGACGGCACGTAAGTCGGCAAATAAAATTGTTAATTAAGAATCTTGCCGAAACACAACTAGCAGGTGGTACTTTGTGTGGACATCGAAAGTGGAAAAATCCGGCTAAGGGTTGTCGTTACCGCGCGCGCACGACAATATAATCTCGGGGAATCCAACGGGAGTAAAGTACGGTGACGATGGGGTCGATGGGCGGAAGTTGGTGTTAACGGAGGTGCAGCGAAGGTTGCGGAAGGTTCTAAATGTACGGCGTTCTCGTGCCCGCGGTATATGTTATACATATGTAGTTACGAAGTGTACGTGAAGAGACACAGCCGTGACCGGCCGAAAGTCTCATAACACTTGGAAACAGGTGGCGTACTCTCCTCTTATTGCCTCGACTAGTCGCGCCGGAGACAGAGAGAAAGAAGGAGAAACGGGAAGGACGAACGGGATAAGAAAGTAAGGGAAAGAGACGGAGAGAGAAAGAGAAAAGAAAGAGAGATAGTGGAAAAGTGGAGTCGATAAGACTGAGAAGTAGGGAAAAGGGCGAGAATATGAGAGATGGAAAAGGCGCGCGACGAGCTGTTGGCATAGTAGACGAACGAAGGAAAAACCGACGTTAACCGAGTGAAAACGACGCAACAAAGGGAAGATGGGATGTACACAATAGACGTTTGACTTTGATCACTCTAGGTCTCTTCCTCGCTTCCTTTGTCGCTCCTAAGCTTCAAGCTCGAACGTAAATCTCTCGCTGCGTGGGGAAAGAAAGTTCCTACTGGAAGCTTAATTAGAGAAACATGTCTAACAATCGGGATGTGATTACCTGTGTAACCTTGTAAATGATACAGAAATGTAAGATAAAAAATCTCGAAAACTTGCATTAATACATTCATACATGCCAAAGCTGTATATATAACTCTCTGTGTGCGAAACTGTATCGCGGAAACTTTCCGCGTTTGTCCATTATGTAAAAGAGTGTCGAGCAAATTCAAATGTCTGTATGTAACAACTATTCGTTCCCAGTACCAGTATCCAAAAATTAAAGGAATAAAAGTAAAATTGTATGATAATTAGAAAAGTTTCATTACACACGATCATCGCTCGCCACTTTTAATGAGGCTGCCTTTCGATAAGGTTTTGCCAAACAATTCAAGAATAACAAAGTGAAAACCGATAAGCCGAGATGTAAAGTATCGTATTATTGCAGCGTACATGCCGGAGGGGGGCGCTAATACATCTTCGATTACTTAAGTTCAGAATAACACCGATATACACGATCAGACATTGAATCAGCGACGTCTAAAAGGCCTTTTCGCACGAATCCGTTTCAGTTGCATCATTGACGCTTGAAACTCTCACGTCTGAAAGTTCTCATTTATATCTATGTACTTTCAAACCATTTTTCACAGATATACTGATCTCTAACATCACTGACAACTGGTTCGTGCGAAAAAAAACTCTACGACTGCGCATAACTGCGTGTTCCATTTCACGAGGGTGACCTCTTGCAAATGTTTGTCACTTTACACATTGCATTTTGCCTTCCACCTCACATTTTCGTTTGACGTAAAATATCATATAGAGGCCAAATGCAAAGCGCAATGCAGCGAGCTGCAAAATCATTCGCAAAATATGATATTGATCCGAATGTGAAAAAGACAGCGTTTGTGTGTTCAACAATGATTATCACGAATTACTGTAAGAGCCGCATCAAAAAAATATCAAAACGACATGTATAATAGGAAAAGGAAACGAAGATACCGACTTCGTTTCTCTCTATTTGTACGCATCGCCGAACAAAATTGATAAAATCATACCACACATCTCTTGCGGTCACGTTCCGTACAGGACAAGTACATTTAAGGAAAGCATGCTTCGGGTATGAGAGAAACGCGAGAGCAGGCAATCATTCCGGTATTCAAGATTCAAACAGAGACGGTACAGTTTAACAACAACAACATGCGGAATTACGACGGGGAACAATAACGATGACAACGGTAATGCATCAAAAGTAAGTCGCCTGCGCAGTCCTTTGTGAAAACTACTGATATACACATAACCATGCGGGCTGCACCATCTGGCACTGCATGCAAACGCATTTGCGAAAGTACATATGCTCTACCGGTTGGAGGGAAGCGCTGCAGCGAGTGCTATGAAACCCGTTGGACGGTGCTGTCCCGCCTCGAGTGTGTCACACCTGCTCTACTTGAACATCGTCGCGCGTCGAGGCAATTCTTTCGCTTTCGCCGAGTGCAAGTTCTCTCGCCTCGGTCACCGCTCGCCGCCCGATCACCGGCAAGCAATAAACCACCGACGACGCCCAGCGTGATTCGATTAAAACGAGTGCGATATAATTCGACCGCGTTATTTTCCAAAATATTCCCTGCTCCTCCGGGCAGGATCGATCGATCTGTCGATACCACAACGATGTTGTTGAGCTCTTGCTT